AAACTGTAAAATTTACTTAAAAAGCGAGAAAACCTGTTAACTTGAGACAGTTAAGTTGACTTAAATTGATTTTTTTGTAATTATGCACATAGTTCATTTACTTAATTATTTCAAGGCAATGAGTTTACTCACTTTTTAAAATTAAAGTCAACTAATCGCTTTAAAAACAACAGGTTTACTCACCATTTTAAGTAAAGTCAACTAATCGCTTTAAAAGCAACAGGTTTACTCACCTTTATTAAGTAAAGTCAACTAATCGCTTTAAAAGCAACAGGTTTACTCACTTTATTAAGTAAAGTCAACTAATCGCTTTAAAAGCAACAGGTTTACTCACTTTATTAAGTAAAGTCAACTAATCGCTTTAAAAACAACAGGTTTACTCACCATTTTAAGTAAAGTCAACTAATCGCTTTAAAAGCAACAGGTTTACTCACCTTTATTAAGTAAAGTCAACTAATCGCTTTAAAAGCAACAGGTTTACTCACTTTATTAAGTAAAGTCAACTAATCGCTTTAAAAGCAACAGGTTTACTCACTTTATTAAGTAAAGTCAACTAATCGCTTTAAAAGCAACAGAATTACTCAATTTATTAAGTAAAGTCAACTAATCGCTTTAAAAGCAACAGGTTTACTCACTTTATTAAGTAAAGTCAACTAATCGCTTTAAAAGCAACAGGTTTACTCACTTATTTTAAGTAAAGTCAACTAATCGCTTTAAAAGCAACAGGTTTACTCACTTTATTAAGTAAAGTCAACTAATGGCTTTAAAAGCAACAGGTTTACTCACTTTATTAAGTAAAGTCAACTAATCGCTTTAAAAGCAACAGGTTTACTCACTTTATTAAGTAAAGTCAACTAATCGCTTTAAAAACAACAGGTTTACTCACCATTTTAAGTAAAGTCAACTAATCGCTTTAAAAACAACAGGTTTACTCACTTTATTAAGTAAAGTCAACTAATCGCTTTAAAAGCAACAGGTTTACTCACTTATTTAAGTCGTCAACTAATCGCTTTTTAAAAAAACTAGTTTACTCACTTTTTTAAGTAAAATCAACTAATCACTCATGCATAGAACAACCTGTCAAATATCAGCAACCAAAATTGACTAATTATTTGGTGGAAATTATCAAAGTTTTGACGAAATATTATCTTGCGTCAGTCAAAATAAAGAGGGAAAGCACATTTTCCTGTAAATGGCCTTATTTTGTGTGTGAAAAACGACAGAGAATCATAATATTGATGGGCAATGTCATTTAAAAATATATATTTATACAATAAGAACTTTAATGGTTTAATCTTATGTTTAATTTAAAAAACAATAAAAGAAATGAAAAAGGATTGCTGTATTTAGAGGCAGAACACATCCACATGGCACATGGCCATTATTAAAAAACATTATGAGAACAATAAATGAAATATGTCTCCTTTAAATAATACTGTATTTTACAGAAATATTGATGAAGCATTTTCTTAAAGAAAAGTCTAAAATATAACAACTATAATAATAAAAAGTAAAATACCAAAATAACACAAGAAATTTTCCTAGGTTCAGCTTTCAACACTCTCAGAAATAAAGGTACGCGAGCTGTCACTATACAATGGTGGTACCATTTCAAAATGCACACATTTGTACTTAAAAGGTCCATACTGGTACCCTAAAAATATATATATTAGTACCTAAACATTTTAAAAGGAACACTTTTGTACTTTTTAGGTACTAATATGCACCTTCGAGGTATTAATATGGACCTTTTAGGTACAAATTTGTACCTTTTGAAAAGGTACCACCCCAGTGACAGCTCGCATACTTTTATTTCTGAGAGTGTACATATTTTCTTCAGCTTTCTACATATTTTCAACCTTTTAAAACAGCATACAGAAGCCCTCAGAAGAAAAAAAAACATCGGCTTCACTTTTGTTATTTATGTATTTGCTTCCTTTCATAATCTTGATAGTTACATAAAAAATGTTGAGTTGAGGGTAGAGTTTTATACTCTTTAAGACTTCCTAATAGCAGCATTTTCTTACATTCTCTGTGTTCTCAGGATAAATATCTTGGCATTTCAATCAAGTTTTAGATTGCTGTAAAAGAAAAACCCTTTAAGTAGTTTTAAGGCGATTTTACCTCTTTTGACTTAGGAAATGTGTTGCTGCACGAATGCTCACTTCTCAGTCATGTGACACTGCTAGGATGAATATGTCACGTTTAGCGTTATCGTTTTAACATCAATCATTTTTAAAGGTATTGATTTGAAACATGTTTAGCCCATGATCATTGGAAATACATGCCTCGGTGGAGAATTTTGCGAAACATAAAATACAATGCTCCGAATACATTTGTTGCACGATTCAATTGACACATACACTAGAGGGCGCTGTCTATATTTTTGCTAATTTTTAATACGTTACTTATAGTATGTTTTGTTGTATGTTTTAGAAACACATCCTTCTTGTACCAGTCTAGGAGAAGGCAGAGCTTGTTGAATAGATCAGCAAGCAAAGCCTTCCCTAAACCCAACCAATAGTGTTTTCAGAAGCAGACGTAAGAGAAAAGTGCACTGCGATCATGTAGTTTACCTTGATTTTGCATTGCTTTTATCTGTTTTGTGGAAGCGTGCTTCACCAGACTCGAACACAAGCACAAAACCTTGCAATGTGAGCTACGAGCAAACCAACCCCATCAGAAAAGTGTCCATATAGAGATTGACAGGCGATACGAACATATTTATTACAAATCATAAACACCGATAAGTAGTTTGCTGGGATTTATTTGATGTTGTGCAAAGAACTACACAAACATAATCCTTTATTTGTCAATAACATGTCTCTGTAAATGTCATTAGTGTGAAAAGGAACAAAAGTCGTTGTCGTCATACTGCCCCCTAGCGTTCATTTCACCCATAAACTGCAGTCAAACATAAGTTTAAGTGTATTTTTTTGCAGTTTTACAAAATCCACGAGCCTGTGTTGATGTACATGTAGCTTATATCGATATGTAGTATGAATATTACCATCCCTAAATGACATTTGTTTACAACAAATTAGTTTTACTGTGTCCGTTAACTTAAATGAGCCTGTTTACACACACCAAATATTCAGAGGCCTTGTGAAATGTTGTATGGACTGATTTGCAGATGAAGACTGGCAGTCTGTAAGGCTGTGTGTGAAATCAAAGTCAGCTGCATCACTGCACACACACTCTCCGTGACTGAACACACACAGCACTTGAACACAACAGACAGACAAGCCTGAAATCTACTAGTTCAGATGATGCAACAAAGAGATACAAATATGTACTACAGTGCTTAGACACAGTAGGAATAGAGCAACGAGTTGGAGGAAAATAGTTTCTGCTACTTTCTTTTATAAGAACACTCCTTTTTTTGGAAATAGGCTAATTTTACAAGTAATATCATTGTAGCCATCATACGGCAGCAAAGTTCCTTGATTATTACGGCAATATTAGTGTATAGTTCCTAGCAATATCGACCTGGACAATAAGAACTTTTCATTTTCCGTCTTATTACACAATGTAACTACAGAATAGTCGATGTTTAGTCAGGAAAATTATGTAAACTCATTTTTTTAGCGGTATGCTAATGGTCTAATCTGATTCAATGATCTATGCTAAGCTAAGCTAGAAGTGCTCCCACTCCCAGACCTGAATCTATACGTTTAGAAGATGCAACAAAGAGATACACATTTTTTTGAGATACAGTTTTTGCTACTTTCTTTTAAAATAACCTTTCAACTTTTTGTAAATATGCTAATTTTTCAAGCAATATGATTTGATCTGCTACAGCTATTATATGGCAGCAGTGTGTCTTGATTTTTACGCCAAAATGAGAGTATAGTTCCTAACCATATTAAACTAGAAAATAAGAACTTCTCATTTTCCGTTGGTCTTAGTACACAATGCAACTACAAAATAGTCACCATTTAAACAGGAAAATTACCAAAACTTTTTTTGAGCAAGATGCTAATGGTCTAATCCGATTCAATGATCTATGCTAAGCTAAGCTAAAAGTGCTCCCAACCCCGGACATGATATAAAATGGTAAAACTAAACTGTTTTTCTCTGGGTGACTTGTAAAATGAGCCCTTTTTCCAAAAAAAAAGGGGAAAATTTAAGTTAGTGTTGGACTAATGCTTTAAATGTTTTACATTGTGCCAAAATAAGAGGGATAAAATTATATGAAGGTTACATATGCTCACTTAAGCTATATATATTTTTTCGATAGTCTACAAAACGAACCATTGTTATGCAATAACTTGCCTAATTACCCTAACCTGCCTAGTTAACCTGATTAAGCCTTCAAATGTCACTTTAAGCAGTACAGAAGAGTCTTGAAGAATATCTAGTCAAATATTGTTTACTGTCATCATGTCAAAGATAAAATAAATCAGTTATTAGAGATGAGTTATTAAAACTATTATGTTTAGAAATGTGTTCTCTCTGTTAAACAGTAATTGGGGGTAAAAATAAACAGGGGGCAAATTATATATATATATATATATATATATATATATATATATATATGTGTGTGTGTGTGTATAATATATATATATATATATATATATATATATATGTGTGTATATATATATATATAGTGAACATTCACTACAGTCAGTATGATTTAAAGAACTGGACGAGTCTGTGTTATTCAGCGGTTGTTATCTGGAAAAACGTACATTTGAATGTCACAACAGATCAATCAGAATCAAGTATTGATGTAATAATAAAAAATATTAGCATGGGTGTGGGTTATTTTCGAATAATTCCTTACATAATGGTAATAAAACTATAATACAATGATGATAAGTGACTAATAAAAACTATCAGGTCGTACATGCGTGTTATCGAAATCAGCACTCTTAAATCCTTCAGATTCACGTCGTGAAGAAGGCAGAATGCGCTGCAGAGAGAATGCTTGTTTTCTCCTCCGGTATGTCAGCACTATCCTGTCCCTAGTAAATTATATTGTCATATTTGTTTTCCAGTCTGACAGCGGTGCTGAGAGCTAAAGGAAATGATTTACTTATGACTGATCAAACGCTCCTCGCAGAAGAGCGCGACTCAGTCTCCGTCAGACACGACAAGAGAGAAAGCAATAAATCACATGACTCATGACTTCTGGAGGATCCGTCATCCACAGGAAGGCATCTTCACGTATGTGTGTGTGTGTGTGTGTGTGTGTGTGTGTGTGTGTCTCAGTGCAATAAATCTCTTTGAGTGCTCGTAGCGGAAAGGTAAAGTCTCAGAGCCGGAGAAGCTCCAGGCATTTGTTGCTGTGGAACAATGTGTAACCATGGCCGGGGCACCAAAGGAGGCTCACACACCTGTAGCAGGTGATTACAGGTAGATCTGCTTCCTCTAATTGGACAATAAACACCACTCTCGGCCGGCTAATGGCACCAGTCTGACTCTCAGACGCCACGCTCCCATTTGGCCGTCGCCAGAAGTCCACGAGTCCCCTCCGAACGGCCATCTTGATGACATGTCTGATTTATGTGCTGTATATATAAGAATTTGTAACCCGAGACCACAAAACCATTCACAAATGTCAATACTTTTATTAAATAAATAAGCTTTCCATTGATGTATGGTTTATTAGAGTAAGATACACAATTTCTAGTTCTAGTCATGTCCATTTTCTGAACTGTATTGAATAAACTGTGATAACCTGAAAAATTTTGAAGGTGACTGAATTATTTTTACTTTGACTGTATGTATAAAATAATCCCTCTTTATATTAAGTGGCCTTAACTAATATGTACTTACATAGGAATAAATAGTTTGTTACAATGTAATTATTGTGTGAATACATGTATTTACTGTGTACTTATGCGTGATTAAATACATGTATGTGATTACATCTGTAACTACTTTTGTTATTACATGTGTAAATACACTGTTGACCATCCCTTGCACCTTAACCCACCCTTAAACCTACCCATACCACCAAACCTCTCCATAACCCAACCTCTATCCCAACTCAAAAGCACCACAAGTGTTCTCAAATACATTATAAACACAGTAAGTACATTGTATTTATTTTTTTGATGTAAGTACATAGTAGTTAAGGACACTTAATATAAAGTGGGACCATAAAATTAAAGTTAATAATACATTTAAACGTGTATACATTTTTGTAATTTCACCGGTAGAAAAATTAGCATTTAAATGGCTATTTTGCTCAGTAATATTTCAAAATATATGTTGCACACATACATATATGACATATTTTTATATCTGTGAAATTCAAACATGAATTTGGATGCCATATTTTTGCATCAGATTTCTGTATGAAGTTACAGATATAAATCCTACAGTTTCTGCCTTTAAAGGGACAGTTCACCTAAAAATAAAAGATTTGCCATCATTAGTCATCCTCCTTGTTTTTTTTTTTTTTTAACCAATATTCTTTAAGTATCTTTAAAATCTCTTTTCAACTAAAGATGGAAACTCATAAGGGTTTAAAACCACACGAGGGAGAGTAAACGGTGAGGTAATTTTCTTTTTTTATTAACTGTCCCTTTAAGACGAGCTAGAGAGAAAGAGAGCTTTGGTGCATGGGTGAAGTCTGGATTATTATTCATTATTTTGCTCTCTCTCTCTCTCTCTCTCTCTTGTGTTTGTATAGCTTGAATTTAGCATAAAGCTAGCCAGGTCAGTTTTGTTAATGATTCTCCAGCTGTAGTGCTCGTCTTTTCATGTGTGTTGAACATTCCTGAAATGACTTCCGCTAACCGCAACATTCCTGTGACAATCATGCTGGTTCTTTCTCTTAGGACTTTGCTCTGCATGTATAACAGAGTAGTATTGCTGTACTGCTCAGTTCATTTCTATAATGTATGCAGTGTGCATATTGTATTTTGCAAAAATAAGTTTAACCTGGCCATGTAATGCTATGTTGTGTTATATTTTGCTGTGCTATGCTATATGTTATTATGTTCTTATGTTATGTTGAGCAGAAATTGCATTGCTGATAGAAGGCCTCGTTGTATGTCGCATGTTATCATTAATGTACATACTGAAGTAGTGGCATTACTGATAAATAAAGCACAACTTAAACATTTCATTATTGTGTTCCTTTCCATCAGTCCACAACAAACCATAAAAACTTAATTTATTGAATAAATACCCTACTGAAAAAAACTGATTAAACCAGCCTAGGCTGGTTTTAGCTGGTTGACCAGGCTGGTTTTAGAGGGATTTTGGCTGTAGCTGGTTTTGGCTGGTTTTGGCTGGGCTCCCAGCCTGGCTAGGCTGGTCAAGCTGGTTTTAGCTGGTCATCTTCCAGCCTGACCAGCTAAGACCAGGCTGAAAATGGCTGGAAACCAGCCTGGAAGTGGCCAAAACCCCTCTAAAACCAGCCTGGTCGACCAGATAAACTAGCCAACCAGCCTAGGCTGGTTTAAGCTGGGATTGTCAGCAGGGTAATCAGTAAAAAAAGACAGAAACTATATATTAAGGTTTGTAGACTAACTTTAAGGTGGCTTGAGAAAGCCTGCTGGAAGTAATTTGTTTAGTTTGAATAGATAGATAAATAGCATGATTCTAGCATGAATTAGCATGTTGCTAGCACATTCTAGCACACTGTTAGCACATATTTTCTGGCTGCATTCCTACCACCTGCAGAGGAAACTGTGATGTGATACAGTACAGTAAGCTGAACGTCATCAAGTACACAATTAGCAACAACTGAAGGATGGAGGACACGTGAAGGAATGACAACATATACTAGTAAGTTATGTGACTGAATGCCAACTTGTAGCATTGCACATCACTGAGCCCCACAGACAAAGGCAACAAATAAATTACATTAAAGTCTTTATGAAATCTTATTTTACAATGTTTATTTTGCTAGCGCGTATTGATAGTCTAAGGGTGCTTTCACACCTACACTTTTGTTTCGGAACGTATCTCGTTTGCCCAGTTAGCGCGGTTCGTTTGGCATATGTGAACAGGGCAATCGCGCTCTGTTCCGCGCCAAAGTAATCGCTCCGAGATCGCTTGAATGAGGTGGTCTCGGCTCGATTGAAACGAACCCTGGAGCGGTTCGATTGTAGTGAGAAAGCGATCCGATCCGAGCGCGGTTGTATCACTGTGTTTTATGGATATGTAATAGGCATATATGGCTATATGGAGAGAGAATTATGAGTATGGCGGGAAGTTTCACGAGTCTCCGGATGCCCGCAAACGAGTGATGATCTCCCGGTAATCTCGCGTCTCCCTCCAGGTCCTCAAATGGGCATCGTCGCGCACCCTTCTCACCCCTCCCCACCGTGTCTCTCCTCAGACACGTCGCGCGCACCCTGTCAATCACCACCAAACCACCACCTCTCCTGACAGCTGAGCGGGACGCTGCAAAATAAACCCTGACACTCTGACCAATGTGAGGAGAGTTTACTCACACGTGACTTGTTTTAGCTCTTTTGGTCCGATTAGAAACTTTGCAGTGTGAAAGCGAACCGCTCCAAGAGCAAAGAGCAACAATGTAACAATTGTAATCTCTGTTTCGGAACAACTGAATCGAATCACAGGTGTGAAAGCACCCTAAAGGTGAACAATTAATTAGTGCAAGTAATTTTAGTATATAAAAAAGTTTTGACCATCTGCTTCTGCTCTGGAACAGCAGTGCTCCTCTGAGGATGTTTGACAGATTAAGCAAAATTTGCTTAGCCACGCCCCTCCCACTACTTGTTTGCTGGGAGTGAAAGATCAGAGGAGAAGCACAGACATTAAACCCTGCCCACTACTCAATATTCAGTTTCAGTTGGTCACTATTGTGAAATAAAAGTCTAAAGTGACTTCCGGCTACAGTTTTATATTGAGATGGATTAGATCCAACTCTATTTAGTTCCTTAAAAAGAAATTCCTAAAATCATCCCGAGTTCCTGCAGTGTGCACATGCCAAGAAGCAGGCACTTCCACCAATGGTGTGAGAATGGTTGTTCGGATTTAAAGACACTTTGTATAGTGTGACACATGAATTGGAATTTTGTATGTACTCCTCACAGGTAAGTGGGCTTGACAAACCACCTGTAGGACACCCTCTTCAGGATGCCCTTCCAGCTGCAACCCATCTCTGGGAAACATCCATACACAGTCATTCACACTAATACACTATGGACAATTCACCTGCTTTGCATGTCTTTGGACTGTGGGGGAAACCGGAGCACCCGGAGAATACCCTACCGAACGCAGGGAGAACATGCAAACTCCACTGACCCAGCCAAGGCTCCAACCAGTGACCTTCTTGCTGTGAGGCACTACCTGGTGAGTGGGCTTGACAAACCACCTGTAGAAACACTCTCTCTCGATATGCACAGGACACTTTACTTAAACTCCATCGGTATGTTAGTTATGTATAGGTTTAAAATAACTCTCTAATCCAGTGTTGTGATCATATTAGCTGGCAGCTAGCTCTCTGCAACTCTCACATGCTTGTCCACTGAAGTTAAGCAGGGCTCACCCGGTCAGTATCTGGATGGGAGACCACATGTGAAAGCTAGGTTGCTGCCAGAAGTGGTGTTAGTGAGACCAGCAGGGGGCGCCCAACCTGTGGTCTGTGTGGGTCCTAGCACCCCATTATAGTGAAGGGGACTCTATACTGCTCAGTGAGCACCGTATTACAGATGAGACCGAGGTCCTGACTCTCTGTGGTCATTAAAAATCCCAGGATATTTAAAAAAGAGTAGGGGTAGTTTCCTGGCTAAATCTGCCCACTGGCCTCTGTCCATCAAACCATCCTCATATTATAATTGGCTTCATCACTCTGTCTCCTCTCCACCAATCATGGTGTGCAGACAGGCGCAATATGGCTGCCGTCGTGTCATCCAGGTGGATGCTGCACACTGGTGGTGGATGAGGAGATTCCCCCATTGTGTAAAGCACATTGAGAGTCCAGGAAAGCGCTACATAAATGTAAGGAATTATTATTATATATCTGATTATGTTTATACTCGTAGCACCGTGGTCCTGCGAGTCCTGGAATAAGCAATTGAGGAATATGAGAAACATATTATGCTTCCTTTGCAAATACTTTGTAGGGATAATATACAAATAATATACAATAATATACATATTTGGTGTGAGTTCAGCATAAAGGGTCTTATCTAACCTTAAACCCAACTCTCACAGGAAACAATTGGCATTTTTACATTTTTAAAATACTACATTGCCTTTGAGTTATGAGCCGTATTCCTCATAGGTCCCCACAAGGTCAAAACTTACTAGTATTGCTATGCTTGTAGGAACATTTAGACAAGAATACAATGTACACACACATGCAAAGACATGCACACGCATTTGTGCGTGCGTGCATGTGTGTGTGAGAATGCGTCCATGTGCATGTTTGAAGTCTGAGGCTGATGCTCGTTTGGATGTGAACGTAATTACGGTAAGAAGATCAAAGTCTGGCAGGGCGAGTGAAGTTTGAGGGGAGACTGTGAGCACACAGCGCTCTCTTCCCTCCAGCCCTGCTGCTGCCGCTCATCTCCGCTCGTAAAAGATGATGAGGGCCGCGTTCGCCATCTTTATGAGAGACACGCATTCTGTCATCAGCACTTTATGAGAGACTCTGACTCCTCCAAATACTGCAGTGATACCATAGTACGGAGATGCTAATAGTACCATGGTTCTGGATTATGATTTACACCAACAAATAGTCTAGCGTCTTTCTGCCATGCAGCTTCTTCAGAAAACAAATTACATGGAAAAAAAAACTGGTACAGGATTTCTCAGAAATATAGGACACTCCGAATTTGGTATAATAAACATTACAAATAAT